AAAAAAAGAAATCACTTTTTCGTAAATTAGATTGTGTAATTATATAAAGTTAAAAAAAAAATAAAAAGGGGTATATATATATTTTTTAAATATGGAGACAAACCCAGTAGACTTAAACAGCACAATACACGTAAATTAAAAAAAAGAAAAACCAGAAGAAAGCAGGTTAGCAAGTGACATGATCATTTTCGTCCAAAAAAGGAGGAGCGAGTTAAGCCCTTATAACAAGTTTTTGAGATGTTGACGACACACGAAAAGAAAAAATTACTAGTCAATAGAATGTCATTTAATGTGGTGCTGACTAGTTAATAGACAAGTAATAAATTGTTTTTTTTTTGATGGTCAATACTACTGAATATTATTTCATGCCTCAAAAATGAGGAAGGTGTACTCCATACAGACTAAGCCATATCATTTAGTACAAAAGCCTTGATTGGATCAGGAACCTCTTCAACCCAAAACTCGTCTCCTGCAATATATTCAGCTCTGCGTGCCAATTCGTGAGCCACTTGATTCCCTGCCCTTCGAACATGTTGCACTCGACATTCGTTAAATCTATCCATCAAGCCTTTACAGTCTGCCAACACTCCCCCTAACTCTGATAACAACACTGCATGTTGAGACCCCAACCACTGTACGACAACCGCACAATCACACTCAACAATAATCTTCCTTAAGCCCAGTTCGTAAGCCCACTGCAACGCTCCACGCAGGCCATAGGCCTCCACCGCCTCAACTTGGAGAGTCCCTTGTCGACGGCATGACATAGCTGCAATTACCTCCCCATTACAATCACGCACCACCGCTCCAACACCAAATTCCTTGGAGTTCTGGAACAAAGCCCCATCCACATTCACCTTAAAATGTGATTCATCTGGTGGTTCCCACTTAATCTCCCCTCTCCTTGGTCCTCCACGCGTCCCACATTTGTGTCTTACAGCTTCACCGTACTCTTGCAGAAAACGAACTGCCATCTCGCAAACGTGCTGTGGTTGTTGCCTCTTACTCTCCCATAATATATCATTGCGATTGTTCCACAGAGACCAGCAGACTACCCCAAACAACGCAAGCTTCCTCTGGTCAACCGTGAGAGCAACTGTGTCAAAAAATTCAGCGAAACTATCCACTTGCATATCCGCCGCACGAAGATTTAACTGACTCCCCAACCATACAGCTCGTGCAAATTGGCAATCCTTCAGAACATGCACCCCTGTTTCAGCCATCTCTCCACAAACTGGACAATAGTTATCAATGTCCACCCGTCTCTTACGTAAGTTTTCCTTTGTTGGGAGTATATCCCTATAAGCACTCCACAGGAAAACTTTAATCCTCTCCGGTAGCTCCAACCTCCACAAAATCTGTCCTCGAAACTCGCCTGCAGAGGAGGATGGTTGCTGAGGATTCTGATGAGAGTGACAGGCCACATGATAACCTGATTTCACCGAGTAACACCCCTCTCTTGTATGCTGCCAAACCCAATCATCCTCCAAACTTCTCCAGCCTAGTGGGATAGACAAAACTAACTGTGCCTCATACTCTGAAAAGAGTTGATACACTAATTCCCTCCTCCAGCTATGCGTAACATCATCAATCAATTCTGAAACCCATTCCACCTCACACCCATTTGCTCTAGGAGTCACAACATTAAAGCATGATGAACCAGGAAGCCATGGGTCTTCCCACACCCTAGTGCTTCTACCATTTCCGATACGCCTACGACAACCTGCTTGAAGGATATATCTTGCCTCCCAGATGCCCTTCCATGTCAGGCTAGCACTATATGCTTCTCTTGAATGTAGAAAGTCAGTTCTACGAAAGTATTTTGCCTTTAAAACTCTAGCAGCTAGCGAGTTTGGCTCTCTCATCAATCTCCAACCCTGCTTGGCTAGCATGGCCATATTAAACTCGTGAAGCGACCGAAAGCCCAAACCCCCTTCCCTCTTTGGTCTCGTCAATCTCCTCCATTCTACCCAATGGATCTTGTGACTGTCTTTGCCCCCTCCCCACCAATATCTCCCCATGATACTCTCCAAGGCTTTACAGAGAGTAATGGGGAGTTTAAAAATACTCATAATATAAGTGGGCAAAGATTGCAACATAGATTTGATGAGCACAAGACGACCCGCCCGTGAGAGAGACTGCTCCTGCCACTCCTTAATCCTCGCCCAAAATTTGCCTTTTAAACTTGCAAAAGCGTCCACTTTTGATCTCCCAATATGGGTAGGAAGACCTAAGTAACGGCCATGATGCTCTACCTCCTGTACAGCTAGCAACTGACTAATTTGATTCTGTACCCTTCGTTGAACATTCCTACTGAACAAAATAGATGATTTATGGAAGTTCACAACTTGGCCTGAAGCCTCTTTATACCTCTTCAAAATCTGCTGCACTACTTCTGCTTCCTTCACTGTTGCTCTCAGAAAGAAAAGGCTATCATCAGCAAAAAGTAAATGGGAAATAGTAGGGGCCCGTCGACATACCCTGATCCCGTGGAGCAGCCTTTGATTCTCAGCATCTTTGATCATGCTCGTGAGACCTTCTGCACATAAAATAAAGAGGTATGGGGACAATGGATCCCCTTGGCGCAACCCACGAGTGGGCACGATTCGACCTGCCTCCCTCCCATTTAAGAGGATTTCATACTCCACTGTACTAACACATTGCATAATCAACCCAGTCCACCTCTCATCGAAACCCAACGCCACCATTACAGCTTCTAGATATCTCCACTCCACCCTATCATATGCCTTACTCATGTCGAGCTTGATGGCTTGCCACCCTCGTTGTTGCTCCCGCCTAGAATTCATATAATGGAGCGCTTCGAAGGCTACAAGTACATTGTCTGTAATCTGTCGACCAGGCAAGAAAGCACTTTGCTCAACCGAAATCACTCTCGACAACACTTGTTTCAATCTATTTGCAAGAACCTTAGCAATAATCCGATATATCACATTACACAGGCTGATTGGACGTAGATCACCCATCCCTTTTGGCTCCCCCACTTTAGGAATCAAAATAATATGAGTAAAATTTAATTCCTTTGGCAAACTTATACCATTATTCAAGAACTCAAGACAGGCTTCAATAACTCCTTTCCCCACCACCGGCCAGAAATGTTGGAAAAAGCCCGGTGACATGCCATCTGGCCCTGGTGCCTTCGACAATCATATTATGGTTTTGCAGGAGGCTCAAGGGGGACGACAGGTTGTAAAGGAGGAATTGTTTGAAGTACCGTTTTGGATCCAGATCCATAATCTCCCCCCAGATCGTTTGACGATGGAGTCCGGAAAAAACATAGGAAGTGCAATGGGTAGACTTATCGAGGTGGATGTCGGTGAGGGGAATATTTGGGGGTCAGAGTACATACGAGTTAGAGTGGGTATTGATGCTCGTAGGCCTTTAAGACGAGGCATGAAGTTGACGCTCAAAGGACGGCCGTTGTGGGTGTCATTCCGGTATGAGCGGCTTCCGAATTTCTACTATTGTTGTGGCATGCTAGATCATGTTGAGCGGGATTGTGAAGTGGGACTTGAGTTAGAAAGCATGGGGACGGTTGAGCGGCCTTACAATGATGAGCTGAGGGCAATCCCATGGAAGATACGGCAAGGGAGAGGTGCAAATAGTGGAGGTTGGCTTAGGGATGCTTCCGGTAAACCGGTGGCGGAGGTGGGGCGACGGAGAAGACAAGTTGCAAACTTGGAAAGTCCGAGAATTAGGGAGTCACGGGATTTGAGGGGAAGTTTTTCTCCTAATTGGCGACATGAAGGCCTGAATATGGAAAAAGAATCGAATGCTCATGCTCATAGGCGAGATCTTCGGGAGGGCACAATTGATTCCTTAGTGCGAATTTCTGCCCAAAATTTTGGAGATGATGGTGGAGGAGTGGATGCTGGAAAAAGGGTGATTGAGGCTGATGCGGAAATTAATAGGCGGGAGTTGTGTGATTTGAAGGGGGTTGATATGGTAAGGCCCATTATTGGGAAAGATCAGAGTTGTGTTGATATTGTGGAGGGTGTTGGGCCTAAAAATGCTCTTGGGCTGGTTCAAGGCCCAGAAAATACCCTCATTGTGGACAATATAGGTGGCCAAGGTTCAAAGACGGATATAGCTTTTGTCTTCTCATCAGGCCCAAGTAACACTCCTTTTAAGAGAAGAGCTTGGAAGAAAGAGGCCCGCGAAAGGAAGAGCTCAAGTTCACAGTTGAAGCACATTGTTAGTAGGGTGAAGCGAAAAGATGAGCAAGAGGTGGTGCTAAGGAATGAGGTAGAAGGGGGGGAGAAGCGGGGTAAAGGAGTTGGAGATGATGGAGCTGCAATTGTTATATCGGCGGGCGCTGCTATGCAGGCCTGCCGGTCACAATGAGTCTGTTATGTTGGAACTGCCGAGGGCTTGGGAACCCTCGCGCGGTTCGTAGCCTCATCGAATTGGTGAGGTGGAAGAAACCCACAGTGGTGTTCCTCAGTGAAACACGACTGGATAAGCGAAGGATGGAGGGAGTTCGGCGTCGGTTGGGTTTTAAGAATTGTCTTACTGTTGATAGAGTTGGCACTGGTGGGGGTTTAGCAATGCTTTGGCAAGATGGTGTCACTTTATCTTTGTTTTCCTACTCTCAAAATCATTTAGATATGGAGGTCATAGGGTGGGGGGAGCAGAGGTGGAGGTTCACTGGTTTTTATGGGCACCCAGAAAGAAGTAACAGGAGGCGATCGTGGGCATTATTGCGGGAGCTTGCAACAAAATCATCTTTACCATGGGTAATTGGGGGTGATTTTAATGATATTCTGGACCAAGAAGAGAAGAGGGGAGGAGAACCACAACCAGAGTGGTTGCTAAGTGGTTTTCGAGAGGCAGTGGTAGATTGTGAGCTTACAGAGGTACGGATGATAGGGTTCCCTTATACATGGAGTAGAGGGGGAGTGGAGGAGAAGTTGGATAGATTTCTGGCGTCCAGAGAGTGGCAAGCCTTTTTTCCACAAGCAATGGTTCGAAGCTTACCGCCACTAGGCTCAGATCATAGTCCTCTTCTAATGAATCTTATGGGGAGACGTATAGACTATGGTAGGAAGCAGGCTAGAAGGTTCAGGTTTGAAGAGATGTGGCTGCGGGATAAACAATGTCAAGTCATGGTGGAGCAGGGATGGAATGGGCAGCAAGGGGAGAGAGGGTTGGTCGGAGTCATGCATGGTTTAAAGGCATGCGCTAACAGTTTAGACAACTGGAACCGAACTCAGTTTGGCAATGTACAGGAGAGAATTAAGCAGTGTGAGGAGCGAGTACAAGCTATTAGACGGCTTCCAAGAACAGAAGAAAGGCTGCAGGAGGAGAAGGAGGTCTTGAGGGAAGTTGAGGAGTGGTTGTCCCGGGAAGAAGTGATGTGGCGGCAGCGATCGAGAGAAGTGTGGTTGCAGGATGGGGATCGAAATACCAAATTTTTCCATGGGAAAGCCTCTAGGAGAAGGGAGCGCAATAGGGTGGCAAGGTTGATGGATGCGAGGGGGGTCTGGAAAACAGATTTCATGGGTCTACAGGAGATAGCTACATCATATTTTACTGATTTGTTCTCGTCATCTCACCCGATCAATATTGAACAAGTAACGAGATGCATAGAACGTCGGGTCACCAGTGAGGAAAATAGGTACCTATTGAAGGAGTTTAAAGCAGAGGAAGTGACTGCAGCAATTTTCCAGATACAAGTAATAAATTGTTAGAAATCACAGTTAATCGCAATGAAGAGTCTGTTTCAATTATAAAGGTTGCTTTTTTGAATAAATTAAGGCAATTTTTACAAAATATTTTTATATATTATGAGAAATAAATATTTTTTTTTAAAGTCAAATATAAAATTTAAAATGATATTTTCACTAAAAAAGAGTAACTAATCACTTTACACACACTTGACTCGTGTGTTTCAGTGATTAGTACCATCAAAAAGATACATACCTCTTTCGTTTGAGTGAGTTTCGAATCCATCTTATACCAAACAGTTAAAAAAAAAAAATCACTTTACCCACGTGCGGAACATTTAAGAGAAAGTAACTAATCAATTTTACCTGCCTGCGAAACATAAAGGTTGCATTTTTGGGTGGTTGCTTGGTGGAAGGAAAAAATTAAAAAATGTAGACTTGTCAGATACCCCACTTAAAGTTCTCAAGAACTTGCAGTACATACTGAGATGAGTGTAACAGGCTCTGCATCAGTTGTATGAACTGAAGATATTTGGAATTTGATTTCAATTCCACACCTATGGCTGTCCCATTATTTCTTTTGGGCTTTTCGCGTTTCAGGTTACTATTCTATAAAAAAAAAAAAAAAAAAAA